TTCTAGAGACAGGGTCTTGCTACGTCACTCAGGCTGGAGTGCAGAGGTACGATCATAGCTCAGCGTAACCTCCAACGCCTGGGCTCAAGCAATCCTCCTGCCTCAGCCTTCTGAGTAGCTGGGACTACAGGTGCATGCCACCATGCTTGGTTAATTTTTCATGTTTTGTAGAGATGAGGTCTTGCTATGTTGCCCAGGCTGGTCTCCAACTCTTGGCCTCGAGCAATCCTCCTACCTCAGGTTCCCAAAGCACTGGGATAATAGGCATGAGTCACTGCATCCAGCCCTGAACATATTTAATCTGACTCTAATCTTGATGAAATAATAAGCAAATTCGGTAGGTGGGACATTCTGTAATACAAGTGATCTGAACTTGTAAAGACACTAAAGAGGCAGAACAACCAGATGCAATGCATGAATCTCTGTTAGATCCTAGATGGGGGAAAATACATTTATAAAGGACATTTTGGGGACAATTAGAGGAATATGAATATGGACTTATTAAGTGACATTTAGTTAGTATTCATTTACTTTGGTATGATAATGGTATTGTGATTATGTAGGATAATTTTCTTATTCTTAGGATATACATGCTGAGGAATTTAGGGGTGAAATATTGTGATGTCTGCCACTTACTTTAAAATATTTGGCCAAAAAAAGTATGTGTATATAAGTATGTATTAATATATATATGTTTGTATATTCGTGTGTATATGTGTGTATATACACACATACATATGTGATAAAGCAAATGTGGCAAAATATTAATCATTGGTGAGTGCAGGTGAAGGGTATTTGGAGGTTCATTATATAATTATTTAAACTTTTCTGTAGGTTTGACAAATTTCAAAACGAAAAGGAAAAAAGTAATTATTTGGCATTAAATACAATAGGAGCACTAGGTTATAAGGCAGTCATTCAGAGGATCTGGAGCAGTGCTTCTGAAACTTAAATTCACTTATGCATCTCCTAGAGGTCTTGTTAAAATGCAAATTCTGATTCAGCACGTCTGGGTGAGACCTGAGATTCTGCATCTCTAACAAGCTTCCAGGTGATGTTGATGCTGTTGGTCTTGGACCAGATATTGAGTAGCAAGGAGCAAGAACATTTTTATATTTCTTAAACTGTTACCAAAATGAAAATACACCATTTAAAAATTTTTGTATAGACTTGTGGATTCCTAATAATATCAGAATAAGCCCAT